ATGAGGTCACAGTTCGATTTTTGGTCAGGGCAGACGCCTAGATTTCAGGCTTGGTCCCCAGTAGGGGGCATGCAGGAGGCAGACGATCAATGATTCTCATCATTGACGTTTTTCTCTCTCCCTTTCTCTTCCTCTCTAAAATCAATAAAAAATATATTTTTAAAAGAGTTTAAAAATAAATAAATATATATATACATACATACATACATACATACACACACATATACATATGGGCTGGGCTACATCAATGAAAACTTCAACCTGGGCCTGTGAATCTCAGTGAGTGATACAAAGATGAAAGAACAGTTAGAGATTTGTATTAGCATTGCAGCATCAGCCATGGCAGCAGATGCAAGAGTCCTGTGGCCACCAGCCAGCAGCATCGTACTGTACTGGCCAGTAGTGGCGGCAGCAGCAGTGGCCCTGTGACCAAGCTCTTCCTGGGGCTCAGTCTGGCTGTATCCTCTGCTCCCCAGTCCTTCATGATCCTACTTGTTTTCCAAACCTGGTTTTTCAGGCTTCCTACTGATGCAGTGAGTTACTATATATCCTCCTAATAAAGCCCTGTAGCTTAACTTAATCAGAATTGCTTTTCATTTGTGTTCAACTCAGAAGTCTAGTATAACAAATATTTACTGAGGAAGGATGGGAAAGCGGCCAATAGTGGGTGCCCTGGCTGCGTGGGCTCACATCCCAGCTATAAAACTAATTTGCTGTTTGATTTGGGCAAGATACTTAACCTTTGTCTCAGTTTCCTCATCTATAAAATGGGGATAATAGAGGTACGAACAATTTCAAGCATCAGACAGGTTACTACACATAAAATGCAAAGGACAGTACTTGTCACATAGTTAACACTCAAGGAATGGCAGCACTTGTTTTCCTGTTGCTGGCAGTGGTGGTGGTGCTGTTACTGTTACTGCTGAGTGCTTCTTAGATTCAGAGCACAGAGGGGCCGATGAAAGCGGAGGACTCCATGACCTGTGGATACAACCTCTTTGGGGCACTGGAAGAGTGTTCTGGAAAAAACATGGTTACTATATCACCGTTTTTTTAAACTCAGAGCCCATGCTCCTTTGGATAGCACAGACTCCTGGGATAATAAGACAGTCGGGCTGCTTACTAGATTTGTAAACTTGTAGGAATTACTCAATTTTTTCTAAGCCTAATTACTCAGGAGCTGCAGGTTGCTCACATGTTTTTGTGAAGATTAAATATAATAATACCTGTGGCTAGAACAGCACCAGGCATACAGAAGCATTTAATCATTCAATAGTAGTTTTCCATATTTCTTCCTTATATACATACATCCAGGAATTTCAAAAACTCTAAAAAACAAATGAAGCAAGCACTGCCCTAACACTTATGAAAGTATAATTAGAATTTATAGCTCTCACATGTAAGAAAAATAGACCACCCCACTCTAGCACAAGCCACAGAAACCAGGAGAAGCACTATGTGAGGTGTCTACATAGTTCTGGGCACGCTGGCATCACAATGATGGACACCTAGGAACCAGGCAGACGATAAATGCAAATCAAACGACTTGATGGCTGAAATGTAACCCAGTCTATCTCCAATCAGAATGTCCTTTAACATACTCAACTGTCACTTTCAAGATAAACAAGCAAAACAATGCAAAAGCTAATGCGTGTTTTCTCTACATTAACAGGAAAGGACAGCAGGATGTAGGTTTACATAATTGCAACTGAACTATATATGTGGAGAGAATTACAAGTGAAGTGATAAGTGCAAGAGATCCTCCTTCCAAAAAATTCTTAAGGAG